CCTATTAATCCATCTTGCCTAATGGGAAAGTGTTGAGAGAGGTTACGCCTCACAGGTTTATCATTTAAAACGTTTGAGGGTATTCGTGGGGCTCGTTGGTTTACTATGGTCTGTCCAATATTAGGCCTACTTACATAATGATTCAAGTGGCCGTCTTGCGAGACATTTGAACCAGGTCTGCCCTTATATCCTCCCCTACGATGCGTAGGGTAAAGCATGGTGTCGGGAAGCATAGTCTTATTTTTATTTAGTAGGGCCATCGTAATATTTTTGTTATTGGATCTAGAACCAGAAGGTTCTGTACAAACATTCTTCTTACGTGGCATAGAATTTTTAGTGTTGAGTGTTTTTAAGAGATGTCGCACTAGGACTAGGTATTTGCTTATGGGCTTCTAATGGTAAATTAGATACTATCGGATTAGTGTAATCAGTAGATGTACATTGGTTATCAGATGTCCCTACAGGCATAATAGGTCAATTAGCACTCTTCGTTAGCAGATCAGAGTACTGGAGAACATGAGATAGGGTATCAGTATCATTGGATCCATCAACCGATGCATCGTGATTTATTATGATCTCAACATCTTTATTTTTGTTCAGGGTACGTTTTTGCGTAAGTCTTTGATTGGTGGTCTTATCTGGGACTATGCGAGCGTTTCTAAACTTCGTAAGCGCACAGATTAGCCGATCGGATTCTTTTAACCGTTCAGCTAATATATGAGAATCAAACCTGAACAAGACTGGGCACGAGTATTTCTGGTGCTTTTTATTAAGTCGGATGCATTGCATGGACTGTCTTCAAGGTTAGATGCTTTTAATATCGAATTTCTTACAGTTTTAATGGGGACTTTGTCAGGTATATTATAGACAATCACGTTATTACGAGAGACTATTCGCTTGGTAACTTCACTAGCGATAAAATCGATAACAGATTCTGCTTTTATAATGTCATCAGGTACCGCAGGAACAATGTCTTTTGACAAAAGCATTTTAAAGGGTGATAGTGTCTTTATTTCTTGCTTCAGATCATCATGCTTTGATAAAGAGCTAGAAAGTGACTCAACTTTAGAACGCATGTCGCTTAGTTGCTTAAAGATAGTGTTTAATTCACTCTTAATATCATCGATACTAATTGATCTTGAGGTGGAACTCATTACTAAATTAGAAACAGAGTCATACAGCAGCAGGTGTGGTGTAAGATCAGTCCCAACATTATCAGATACAAAAGGAGTAGCGGAGCAAGAGGAATAGGTAATAACAGAATTGTTATTATCTGAAGAGTTAGGGCTTTTCCGTGTTCGTTATTATAAATTATAGTCTCGCCCTATTTTCCTTTCTTTTTAATAAAAGTTTGTATTTCATATAATTTAAAATGATCCTATTTAACTTAGTTGACAATGATGACAAATAATGATATAGTTGTGATATTTCAATGATTAGAAGTTTTGTGACTTGATGTAAGCCACTTCTTCAGGGTAAACAGATGAATCATCAAATTAAATTAACGCATATTTCCTCTCTAGAAACGTCAGAAACCCATATTCCTACTCATTGAAATGTTACTAGTATATTATTATTTCGTTATTGACTTTAAACAATGATCAATTTACTTGAAACCTTGGTATTGAGACACCAAGTTAACAATAGTACTTAGTATTTTTTCGATTTTCAACTTCATATTCGAGATTTTCATTTAAATCCGAAACATTACCCTTGATCTTTTAAGCTTGAACTATGAACTATTGATAGTTATCTATTTAAACAAATTCTTAGTAGGTCATCAATAATTGACATTATCTAAGTAACTTGAATGTTTAATATATATGAAACTAGAAAAATAATGGGATCCTAAATGGTAAACTTAAGCACTGAATTCATGTTCATCATAGACTGTCATTAGCAGCTAGTGTAGGGAATTAATTGCCACGAATTATATTTCAGATCATTGTCGATCTAGAAACGTAAAAAAAAGTTGATTTACAAACCAATAAAATACTGTATCATACCAAGATTACATAAAAGATGGTATGATGTCAGTAATTGTTGAAACTAAAATGCACAAATTTAGATTGGAGCGAGGTGGAGAGAATCTCCTTAAAAAATGTGCAAACATCCATGTTGCCAAAATGAGATACAAAATCTCCAGGTTTACTGAAACTTCATAAATTCTTTTTATTAACAACTATGATTTATCTCAGTCGATCATAATTACTGGCCTCCGCTAATTTGATTTATCAAATTACTGATCTAGAAAATTTCTAACTGTCCATCGTTAAGTTTATGTGTTAAAGCTCATTACGATAATGTTTGCAGGTCGTAAGTCTGTAATCAGGATAAAAATGCTTTATGTATGCGACCAGCAGTGGGACCCAGGACCCAATTTTCACCTTATCTGTGACTCATCCGATGGATTTACCCACATCTTAGTGCTGATAATCGCAACGAAACTCTTAGTCCCTACAGCTCCAAACTTCTACTCGTAATCCACTAGGCTAATTAATCCAAATAGTGTGATGGTGGTGAAAGAATATGATTTTTTCTGGTCAGCGTTTTTTTAGCGACTTAGTTTTCTACGGGATGGAGTCGCTAACCCCATACCCAACCCTCCTCCTTTATCCGGGCTTGGGACCGGCGGTAACCCCAGAGGGGCTCCAGGCGGGGTTGGTGAAAGAATATACGGAGGTAATTTGCTAAGTATGCATTTATGGTTGATTAATTACATTCCTGAATATCAACAATAAGAATTAATTTAACTCTTAAAAAGTTTATCATTTCTCAAATAATCGAGAGAATTAGTTGATTATCTAGGCTTCATGCACACAACTTATCTAAACATACATTTATATTCATTGTATGCAATTCGACATAAAAATCTAAAATAAATTCTACAAGTGAAGTAATCTTTACTTCAAAGCTAATTAAACTTTTAGCTTTTAATTTAGACATACCATAGCAAAACGATTGTATTCGAAAACATGAAAAAACTCAATCAAACGGGTATTAGATATAAAATACATAAGCAATACAACAGATCTATGCTAATCAGATTATTTTAGTGTGATTGTGAGTTATGTAAGAAAAATAATCGATGTACGTTGACTGGTGTTTTTAAATATATTTGAATGAAGGTACGGAATATGACTGACTTTTTGAGAAGAATAAGATGGCGCAGATCGATGATCATGCATATGGTTTGTTAAACGACCAAAGTATAATAAAGCTTAAATCCATATCCTGATATATTGCAACAAGACAAATTTGTTCTAAAATTCCCATTCACTTTAGAGAACTTACTCAGTATTGAAATGTTGTGTAGTCCATTAGTTATTGCAACTCCACATGTTGTCATTTTAGGAAAGTTAAGCTTGTTTCATACTATTAACAATAAACTTACTTACGCCTGTTCCACTTTATGGAGGATCATAGGCCGACCACAAACATTCTCCATCAAACTCCGTCCAGAGCAGTCCGTTCCGGTTGCTATTCATCCTTTTCATGTCTGCTTTCAATTCCTTGGTCTTCCTCGTGATGCAGTTTGATGATTTCCTCAATATATATCTTATCGACTTCCGTCTTTTACTGATTTCCTCTTCAGCTCGAAGCTGGTTTGTTCTCTCCAACAGTAGATTGTTGTTGATAGCATCCGGTCAATGGACATCGAGTATCTTGCGTAGACAATTGTTTATAAATACTTGTATCTTTTTGATGATGGTTGTAGTAGTTCTCCAAGTTTCAGCTCCGTACAGTTGAACTGTTTTGACATTCGTATTGAAAATTATCAATCTGATGTTCACTTACAGATAGTTGTTTTGAGTTCCATACGTTCTTCAACTGTGGGAATGCGGCCTTTGCTTTTCCCATCCTTACCTTTAGGTCTGAACTGGATTCTCCTTTTCCACTGATGATGCTCCCCAGGTACGTGGAAGATTCCATCTCTTCCAGAGATTCTCCATCAAGTGTGACTAGGTTGGTGTTCTTTAGGTTGTGTTTTAAGATCTTTCTTCTCTTGTGTATGTTGAAGCCTACTAAAACCTACTTCTGCTGCCATACCGGTTGTCTTCACCTGTATTTATTCTTATGTAAGGGATAGAATGGCCAGGTCATCTGAGAAACCGATATTTTTCGGAAGCCACGTGGCCGATGCCCCTTTTAACAACCAGCGTAACAATTAATATAGTTACTCACAATAAAAGTTACAACTAAAATAATATTACAAGACGAATAGAAATTAAACTAAATTGGATGATTTGATTTCTCGATTACGTAAGAAAAGTTAAACTTCTGCAATAAAAAACGAAAGTATATCCATTCTTTATGCTCAAGCTATTGTAAACTTTCTTGATTAGACTACCTAGAAGATGAGACAACTCTTATGAAGTTTTCATTCATATAACAAAGACACTAATTAAGAAAAACATGGAAATGTTCCTTACAGAATATCTATAAGATTCGGAAAAAAAGCCAGTTTGAGTGAGAAATTTCTGATGGTATATTAGAAGCCGTTTACTGAGGTTAGTTTGTAAGACATTTAATGTAGAGAATGAATCTAAAAAAATAACATTGCAGTCCCCATCTGCACGGTTGTGGATGAATGGTAGTAGAAGAAATTTATTACAATAAAATTAACACCAAAGTTTTATATCTGTTCTACTTCTTAAATATACCTTTCCCTATTAATTAAAAGAAGCATTCGAAATACGCATTAAAGTCTATTGTTTCACATGATATTATTATAATAATTAATTCGATAAAATATTCCTCCGATTTATTACTCCATTTATATGATTTTTACTTATCATTCTACAGCTTATATTCCGTACTGCAGAATTAACAGATAGCATTTTACACCACTTAAGTGACATTTCAACTTCTTCAATAAACATTTCTTTGTAAGCTATACCTAGTTATCGTAAAAACGTCCGCTCATATTACTTCTAAACAAAGTTACTATCTGAATATTACTCTATAGTATATCAACTAATAACGTACACAAGTGAATGTTATACAAAATAATGCCTGTTATACTTATTATACTTACAATTCACGTTTATATACATTTAAAGCTGAGACAATATCACCATGTCTTTTCATATACAGACGTTACTTCTATTAAATCCACCAAACTATCATAGAAATCAACAAAAAGGCATAAGGTTAAATCAAACAGAATATCATTCACTCTTATTCCAACTGTCATTTTTGCTACAAAATAATTCTTTAAAAATAAGAAAAGGCAGAAAACGATAGTAACAACAAAAAGAAAGAAAGGACAAGGAGAAGACTTAGGAAAAACAAAAATACATTTATGTAATTTGTCATTTAATCTTGATTCTTTTAAACCAGTTTTATTGACATGATCATAGCGAAGGAAAGTCACACTAAAACGTGTGAAAAAAGTACATGAGACAAAACAAAAGAAGTGGCAGGAGAGGAACACGATTGACGAGGAAAACAACCCTGATTTTATCACTGAATTATATATATGTATAAGTAAATAGAAAATATATATGTTCGGGAATAATTGTATACAGGGAAAAACACTTCTATATGTATATATTTATTTCTCTAACAAAAAGAATTGAAATACTGAAATTAAGCAACCGATCAAGCCAAATAATGAATGATATAAATTTCCATTTTGCAGAAAGTATTCTATGTATAATAAAGAACAAGGCTAACAGGGGGATAGTGAAGTTTTTTATTATAAATGTGGCAATTCGGTGACATAATAATAGTTAGATTAATATACTTTGAATTATCAAATGCGGTAGTTAGGGTAGTATAATGTACCTGATGACTTTTGACAGTGATCTATTAAGGTATTGTCAAAGGAGAAATAAGATGATTTACAGCACATATTTAGAAAGAAATTGTACTGAAATCAGTAGGTTGATAATCGTAAAATACAGTTGAAATTCACTATTCAAAATAGCCCAGTGAAAAACAGAAAAAATACGAGTAGGAAAGAAAAAAAAGTTAATATTGAGTGCGTACTGAAGATAATACAATTCACAACATGATACAATGTTATGTGATGAAAGACCGATAAATTCCAAAAGTCAGGATCATAAATATGTTGGTATTAACATTTCTAAATTTTGAAAGAGGAACTGTCTCTACGTATACAAGCTACCATTGTGCGTGGTGTTTTTTGCTATTACTACTATTATTTGATGAAGTACCAGAAAAGCGATCCGTACTAGAAGGCTCCTTAATCCAACGGGCATAAAATGGTGGGACTTCAGATGATGATTGTGATTTAAAGTTAGAATGGTGAGAACTTTTAGATCGAACTAAATCATTTTGACTGTTACTAGACTTGTTTTTATGTTGTGACTTAGGAGGTGGACTTGGGGAAATGTGAGAAACATGATAAACAGGTAAAGTATTTGCGTCAGGTATATTTGAAGCGCCACCGTTTATTAGACTTCTTTTAGTTGGACTGTAACCTATGGAGTCTTGTGACAACTCAGATGCGTTAACATTGCTAGGGACTTCTACAGGTGACTCATTTTTTCGCCTTGATGATGAAAGATGAACTGAACGAGAACGGCGACGTTGACCATGTTTGCTCTTTGCATCTGGAGAATCTACGGGGATCGATGGTTTATAGGTTGGTGTTGGGAAAGAGTCAGAATCAGGAGATTGAGAATCGGAAATGCGTCGACCGTGTACTTTAGAATGTAATGGTTTAATTCTTTTCGGCTGATAAGTATTATCTTCAACTGAAATAGGACAATTTACATTAGGTACATTTGAAAGTGAACTGATATGACTAGAAGGAGATTTCGGTGCGATCGGTGCTACACTCTTGCTGCGACAAAATTTTCGTGATGGAGGAGGAGAAGCACCAGGCGACTGATCATCAGAAGCAATAATTCTACAAGGATGTGAAACCATATTACAATTAGGTTTTAAATGTTCCGTGTGTGTGTGCGATCGTTTTGATTTTTTTGTGGAAAATAAGTGACCATCTGCATACGATCCACGTTCCTGTGAACTTGAGTTATCAATACGATCGAGCTTCCGATTTTCAAAGCACTCTGGATCGAGGTTATTTAATTTACGTACAGTTTTAGGCTTATGGGATTTTTTCCCAGGTGATACATTGCACTTATTAAAAGGAGCTGATCGTCCATAACTATCCAAATCAGTATCTGTATTAGTTGAAGAAGCATCTATAGGTAAGGGTAATATATCTGTTGACTCATTGGACTGCAGTAAACGTCGTCTTTTAGATTTCCGTTTAGGAATATTGGGTATATCAGGCTTAGAGGAAGGTACAGAGGTATCAGAACAGTTTTCATCTAAAGCACTGGAATGATGAAGTGAGAATTGTTTCGCAACAGATGAAGAAACTAAGCTTGGGGACGGGTTAGCATCAGAAAAGTGTTTCTTGTGAGACTTCTTTTTCAAAAGCCGCTCACTGATACCATGAGTACTGGGAGGTTCTGAATGGCAGCTAACGTTATTAGCTTCAGTATTTTCGAACTTTGATTGTGCAAAATTATTTGATGGCTGGTGTTGTTTGTTAGGAGTTCTAGAGACTGTCGACAAAATCGTATCAGATACTGGAACTGAGTCAGTTATCAAGGTGGAATTCGGAGTTACAAACTTTTGTTCTTGTGAAACAGTAGATAGATTTTGAATTTCACTTGAACTATTATTTTTCAACTGAGATGATTCTTGTATAGAAGGATGTTTCAACTGATCAATAATAAGTGGATGAACATGAAAAATTCCATCCATATAACGTAACAAAATAAGAATGGGAATTTGAGAAGTATTGATATATGCTCCTTCTGATGAACTGGCGATGTCAATATCTATAGTATGAATTGGTCTTAAATGTCCTGAAAATGAAGTATAACCGACAGTGTCAGTTGAACCTTCTGATTTACGTCCAACGGATGATTTAAGATATGGAACCTTTGTAACTAGTTCATCAGCCTGTTGCCATTCTATCATTGCACTATATACACAAGATGTTAATTGATTAAAACGAGAAAACTGGACAACTAAAGATTCCAACATCTTCAAATCTAAAAGTTGCGAAAAATATTACTGGATTATTATCTAGAGGAAAAATATTAAGAATTTCAAATGTATAGTTCAGTCAGTCACAAACAAACCAATACCTGGGACAAATATGTACTAGTTCAATTTGCCCATATTTCATGTAAAAATCGAGAGAGAATATCATTAGCAAGATCAGCATAAGAATTAAGGCTCATAAGTCACGAATGAGATCGAATAGTGTCAGGTAAGGAATGACGTTAGGCTCAGGATTTCCAAGAAACAAATGGCAAGTTAATGCATTGTCACCATAGATTCTGAGTTATATTACCTTGCATTTTTAACCAGAGGTTACAATGATATTACAAAGCCCAAATAAGAACATTATATCTACAAAAACACGAAAAACAAATACCTAATGATTTTGTTATAATAATAGCAATGAATTAATCAGCAACAAGATAGTATCCTTCCCCTTATTTATATGATTCATGATGGAAATTTAGGTGCTATTATTTAGTGCTTATGTCTCTTGCACTATCATGTAGTGAAAATGACATGGTATAAAACGATAAATACTCGAAAAGACTACTAATTTCACTTAGATTCTATTCTTAAAAAATAATTCTAAAAGTTACCTCCTTTTATTTCTTCATATTAACCTTCATTAATGATGGGTGGAAAATTAAACCCTCTTATGTTGCACAAAAGCGTAAAACAATTGGAATTCTCATTGATATTCCATCAGTCAGTCAGCTGCAACGTAGGACCAGGCACGTATATGCATCGGTCCAAGTTGCCATACCTCATCAGCACAACAAGATGCACACCGGGTTCATAGAAGTAGTTAATTCAGCGGTGGTAATATATAGAAGAAAGAGTGTGTAAAAGGAAGTAGTAAAAGAAGAAAGAATTAGTTCATAGAAACGAATATATGAAGCGATTTTAATCTCATAGTTTAAGGGAAGACAAACAGTGTATACACCTACGCCATTCTGATCGATTCTGAGCCATGTCACCAAGAGTCTCCAACCATTGGTTACGATAGTCACGCGGACCTCAACCAGGTAGTCTGCATCTACCAACATGGCTCAGACCAGAAGTTAGTGACTTCAAGCACTGATGCCACGTTTTGGTTTGGCCGCCCCTAACTTTCTTGGAGTCATCCCTAACACCGGTTACCATTGCGCGTCGCGGTAATCGGTGTTCAGGCATACGCAGCACGTGGCCCAACCATCTCAGTCGATGAAGGTTCATAACCTCATCAACTGATTTACCATCATTTCCTAATACCCTGCGTCTAACCTCACTATTACTTACCAGGTGATCCCAGCAGATACCCGCAATATTTCTAAGGCATCTGTGGTCAAATACTAGTAACTTAAGAATATCTTCTACTCTCAAAGGCCATGTTTCTCAGCTGTAAAGTAGAACAGAACGAACTGCCACGCAGTATACTCGTCCCTTAGTTGATAGACGATATCTCGCCTTCGCCAAAGGTGACGTCGGTTGGCAAAAGCCAAACGAGCTTTTCGAATCCGTACTGAAATTTCGTCAGACACCAACCCATTAGGGCTGATCAGACTTGCAAGATAAGTGAAGTTGTCGACGCGTTCGACTACTTCACTCCCTATCTTTAGTTCAGGTGTTGACACAGACCAGTTCTGAAGCAACAACTTGCATTTGGAGGGAGAGAAGCGCATCCCAAACATTCTGGCATTGTTGCTCAGTGCTACCAAAAGACTCTGCATTTCATCAGTGTCTTCACCAAACAGGACTATGTCATCTGCGTATTCTAAGTCAATAAGTGGACCTCCTGGAAGGAGATCAATACCCGAGAATTCAGTCGATGAGAGCGTTATTTCCATCAGTAGATCTATGATGAAGTCAGACAAAAGTGGGGAAAGTGGACAGCACTTGAGGTTGCAAAAGCAGATGACAGTTCGCCATAAGCTCTGACTCGACTAGTAGTGTCCGAGTAAAGAGTCTTCATAAGATTTATGTACTTATGAGGTACGCCTTTTAATGACAGACACTGCCACAGAACCTCTCAGTCTACAGAGTCAAATGCTGCTTTCAAGTCAAGAAAGACCACCATTGCTTTAGAGAACTTTCAAGAGATCTGTGAAAAATATCCCATCAGGATATTTACAACTTGATAACAAATAAAAAAACTTGACCTCTCCAATGAATGAATGCTTGCAGAACAGAAACTCATAGGTCACGTAATCGGACCACATACAATCATTACTTTAGCGAGCTTGTTAATCATAAAAGACTATATTGCTAGTATATGTGGATGATGTTAAGGTGACGCTAATCGTCGATCAAAATCCTTGATATATTGAAGCTAAGACCACTGTTACATAATGATTAACTACTTATTATGAGTTGTTAAACTGTATGAGAAGTAATCAACAATAACATCATTGTAAAAAACATAAGTTGATGAGACGCTTTATGATTTTTGTTGGGTAATGTATTTTATAGGATATGGTTGACGAATTTCAGATAAAATGTTACGTTCACAGTAAATTATTATTTATTATGAGTAACTTACTCTCGCCTTCAGAAGACGAATTAGATGTAACTTTCGACTTAATTGAAGATGGTTTTGATGAAGGACTATCCGAAACTTTTGGCAAACTAATATTATCATTTATGTTAGGAATGTGCTGTTTTACCACGGAAAGATTTGCATCTATCTACAAAGAAATCACAAAAAAAGTAAAATCGCGTGAAATGGTTTATGAAAAGTGATCTTGAAAGTCGATACTTGAGCTCCTGTAAAAACATAAATATTGATTCAAAAAATACAGAATATACTCACTAGTATACCGACATGAGTTCCAAACAGTTTATTTATATCATAAAACAAGTCGCTATAGAAACTTGGAATAAGATTACTACAATAGCCACTAGCATTGTTATATAGAAAAATGAAAGGTTTTCATAGAAAGAAGTCTCTTCAAAGACAATTTGAACTCATAAAATCAAGAACAATAACTAAGCTTTGCATTATAGCAGAGATAAAACTCTAAAACAAAAAAAATTTCACTTTAACTAACCTGGGAAACAATAATCTAACAAGTAATTTTGTTATTAACAGAAGTGATCCGTATTTATGACATAATTAACGACATTAAATGCAGTATATATTGTAACTCTCGTCATTTACGTATTTCATGATACGACGGTCTTATGACCTAGTTGATTATTTATTCATAGTTTAGTATGAAGCTAATCTTTGTGACATTAGATAACTTAGTATTTTCCGCTTTGAAAAGCTACATTAAACTGGTTAACCTTTGATTTATATGATAAAACTTTTAACGCTTTCCTATGAATGGAAAGGATCAACAATTAAGACTAGGCTAATGAAATGTTTTCTGATTTCCAAAGATCTTGTTTAGTTTCTCTATGAGTTTATCCAGGAATGATCAAATCCACTGGTAGTTAGAGGATTGGTACTATTGAACAAACTAGAAGCACAAGTAACCTGGTTATTCGCCAGCATAACTAAAAATATTTGAATCTACCTATAAAATAATAAATCAACGAAGTCCAGAAGTTACATACACATCTTTATTGAGTATTGTCCTTGAAACTGATGAAATATATTGCTTTTATTTTAAAAATGAGAAGGCAGTAATAATAATGTCCACAATCTTATGAACTAATGTTAGTCATTACGAGAAGTAAAAGAACAAAGATCGGGTATATGTTTTATTCAGGAAATACCAATGACTTTATTTGTACGAATTACCGAAGAGTAAAAATATTAGAGAATATCATTGATTTTACTCTAACGCCGAACTTTTTAATACATACTCTTCTCATTTAGTTCCTATCGCTAAAATAGTATGAGGAATCTCCGTCAGTGTAAGGATGGACTAAATATTGTTTAAATTGCAACTCATTAATAGCACATAAAAATTCTAGTGGAATAAAGCATCAGAAAGTGTGCCATATGATCGATCATACCAAAATTACATCCTGATTACAACTCACATGACACACTACTAGTTGTTTTATAGTGTAATATTTCGCCCAGAAATGCCCTGGTACGAAGAGTGGGGAAAGTTAACTCTCCCACTCGAAATGCTCTAACATGGTCATGAGAATATAACCACTGTCAGGGAAGTCCTACTCACTGCCTTATCGTGGTGGAGGCGTTGTTTAGAAAATTGAGAGGACGAAAAGCGAATGTCCGGTGCTTTAACCGGACCCGAAAACAATGGTGCACATGGGCTCCAGTATCCTCAGAGAACAAATAGCACACGAACCTATTGTTGGTCACCGGCTACCATGGGACTGCATCTCCTCACGATGCTCCATTGTCTTGTGGTCAGACCTTTAGGTCAAGGGCTCGGGGTGTGGCCCCCTAAGAAAACCACCTGCTTCGGTCTGGGCACCCGGGCAGTATCACATTCCACACACAAATATGATGAAATGTCGATATTTATGAAAAATACTTTTCTTGCTTCGATTAACAATCAAACGATTCACATTATTATTATTACCATTATTGTTATTATTATTACTAATATTAATATTATTATTTACTACGTCATTTATTCACTTTCTTTTATTCCCACTTTGTGTATCCTTATTTTTCGTCTTATAAAGCAGCTCGCCTATGGTGAAAATTCGGTTCTACCTAAACGTTTTCGAGTCACTGCCTGGTTGAAAATTGTATGCTATCACCGAATACGAGTACCGAAGCAGTTTTTCTGAAACCACATGCACCATTCAAACTGGCTGCCTTCAACGTTCGCACACTTATGCAGGTCAGACAACAGATAAGGCTGGCTACGTCCGTAGAAAGTCTTAATATCGACGTTTGTTGTCTATCCGAGACCGGTATTCAAGACTCTGGTGAAGTACTACAAGTTCGCTCTCCATCTGTCGCTTCGAAAAGCTTGTTTTACGTGCGTTTATCCGGGGACCCTGTGGCAACTTCGTCTGGTCTTGCTGGTGTTGGTGTCGCAACTAAGCGCTAGAGTTCAGACAGCACTAATCGATTGGATCCCCATTAACACTCGGTTATGTGCTGTCAGATTAGAAAGTTCCATCAAAGTGAGAAGAAATAGGCGTGAAAAACAATGTCTTTTCGTCATCTCCGCCTATGCCTCAATAGATTGCAGCACGGATGAATTCTACCACCATTTAACTGTTCTTCTCCAGAGAGTGCGTTCGACAGATATTGTAGTACTAGCCAAAGACTTGGATGCTCAGGTCAATCGTCTAGGTATGGAAAATAGTCGTTTAGGTGGCCGATAGGAAATTGTTGGTCGCAGGACAGGTAACGGGGAACGTCTACTGCAACTTTGCACAGATCACAACCTGTTTCTAGCTAGCACTAACTTTCGGCACAGTCATCGCCGATATGCCACCTGGTGTCCTCCCTCTGCATTTCAAGCCTGGACTCAGATTGATCACATCACGATCAGCAACCGCTGGCGTGGTTGTATACAAGACTGCTGCTCCTTTTGGAGTACCTATCTGGACTCTGATCATGCCCTGGTCTGCGCCAATCTCACCTTACTTTTCAGTGGCCAACGAAGTGACCGCCACCAAAGGATTGATGTTAGCAAGTTGGTTGCAACTTCTGTTGCTAGTAAGTATCAAACCGAGCTAGCTTCTAGGCTAGCTACCATTCCACCGAAAAGTATAGATGAGCATTGGTTGCAACTTCATGACGCCATCAAAATGGCGAGTAAAGTCGCTTGCGGCTTCGCGAAACGTCCCGCTTATAAGCACTGGGTTTCTTCAGGCTGCTTACAACTCATCGAAGCCCATCGGTCTATTCCGGGTGACCGTGAGTTTGACCACAAACGAAGGCTGTTACGTAATGAAGTCGGGCAAAGCATGCGTAAGGACCGAAAAGCCTGGTGGTCGGAGTGTGCTAATGAGCTGGAAGCAGTAGCTTCATTGTTCCATTCACGCAGTGAGGTTAGGCAGAGTTGTCCAATCTCACCATTCCTCTTCAACTTTGCTATCGATGACCTTCTGGAAACAGCTCTGATGGATGTCAGTTAGTCATCAACAACGTATAACTTCGTACGTACGAACACAGAGTGGGTGCACCTGCGCCATTGCAAACGATTTTGAGACATGTCACACAAGGTCTCTAACCATCGGTTGCTATCGTCTCGCGGATCCCAATCAGGTAGTCTACACCTACCAACGTGGCTCAGTCCACTTGCCAGTGACTTCATTGATTTGTGCCACGTTTTGGTCTGGACGCCCCTACCTTTCTTCCAACCTACTCCTACATCATAAAACATCGCACGTCGGTGGTTGGGCATACGTAACACGTGTCCCAAACATCTCAACTGAATTGCCATCCTGACCTAGTACCCGTTTCCTAACAACTGCATCACTTACTCGGTGGTCCCAAGATGTACGAGCAATGCTTCGAAGACACCTATGATCGAATACTAGTAACCTACAAATACCCTCCACTCTTACCGGCCATGTTTCACTGCCATAAAGTAGGACGGAATGAACTGCTGTACAGTAAATTCGTCCTTTGGTTGGTAGACGGATATCTCACCTACGCCATAAATGATGCAAATTGGCAAAAAATAGTCCAGCCCTCTGTATCCGCGCTGATGGATGTAAGTAATGGCTGTGTAAATCGGTTGCCTGAGGAAAAACTTCTCGACCTTGAGTATGCGAATGATATTGTCTTACTGTGCGATGATGCCCAAGCCATGCAATCCGCACCTAATCAGTTGGCAATCGGTGTCCATAGGTATGGTATGTGCATTGCACCTTCGAAGTGCAAAGTACTTCTACAAGACTGGCAGGACCCTGATCCTGCACTCACCCTGGGTAGTGAGCAGATAGAAGTAGTCTAAAAGTTGGTGTATCTGGGTAGCTACATAAGTGCTGCTAGTGGCGTGAGTGATGAGACCAATGCACGTACAGTGAAAGCCAGAGCGGCTTATGTCGATCCGGGCCATCCTTGGCGCCTTCGTGATGTCAGTCTGGCTGTAAAAGGTCGGATCTACAACGCATCGGTGAGAGCAGTTTCGCTCTATGCTTGTGAAACCTGGCTTCTCCGAGTTGAGGATGTTAGACGACTCTCTGTGTTCGATCATCCTTGTCTCCGAAGGATTGCTAACATCCAGTAGCAACACCACGTCAGTAATGCAGAAATTCGGCATCGTGTGTTCAGGCGCAGAGACGATAATCCAATTGATGTCACTATCTTGAAACATCGACTTCGGTGGCTTGTTCTACGAATGTCATCCCAGAGAATTCCACGTCGTGCATTATTTGCCGACACTGGGACTGGTTGGAAAAAGCAGAGAGCTGGTCAGTGTATGACATGGTGTCGCGGTATAAAGGAAAGCTGTACAGGACTGGCTTCTGCTGGTCCTAGAGATGGTGTAACACAGTGGCTAGAGACGTTATCAGATATGGCTCAGAATAGAAGAGAGTGGCGATCCTGCCGGAACTTTATTCTACTTTCTTCATAAAAAGTGGTTGCTTCTTCCTTAACTACAGGATTTCTTTTGCTTGTGTCTTTCTGTTTCCTCCATTACTATTATTATTTTTTTTATTATTATTACACTACCTTACACTAATCAGTTCGTTATTGTTTTTTTCTTACGCACCTTACTTCCTTTTTTTCTATTCAAATTCTCATTGTTTTGTGTGGAGCATACATATTTGGTGCCCTCTTGTACCAATA